AAAAGACCAAAAACTCGGGAAAACGAGGTAGTGTCAAAAGCTTTACTTAAAAAAATAGAGAGGAACAGTTCGATAAGATCAAAAAAACTGCATTTCTCGCTTTTATATCCGAATGTACATGCACGATGCGCAAAACTACTACTCAATTAGTGAACAGAGAATTCTGCCCGACCTTCCAGCTTGCCGCTTTAGTCCATGTTCCGTCTGATCCTCGATCCCACACTGATAATGTCATATCGCTGGAGCATGTTGCTAATCGTCGACCATGATGATCAAACGCTACCTGAATGCGAGACAGCGGAGTCATTAACGTTCTACTTCTTCTGCGCCCTGTGGAAGCAATAGACCTCACTCCTCAGACATATACTTAAAGGCACGCCTCGCGTTCAGTTGTGTGGCTCGAATACTAATGAAAAAACAGCAAATGACAAAGAAATGAAGGAAAAACACTCAAACCCCGTTCGAAATGACCCATGTGGAACCCCATGCTAAACCGCGTATGCGCCTGCATAAGGGGAAGAAATTGCGTGGTCGGACGAGTTCTCTCTTGTAGGGACCACCTCTTTCTCCTCATCACCTCATAATCAACCCACGAAATGAAGTGAGCTAATAGCGGAACAACCGCACCCTTGAGAGAAGCCTTGAGAGCCAAATGTGGGCGTTGTCATGGCCAGTAGGCGGGGCCGCGGCATTGTCTCAAGTGGTTCGCACCTATTTTCGATTGGCGAAAGTAGTAAACCGGCCATGCTTGCAAAATACCATTCCACTACCATTTCCAAAGAAGGGGTCTGTTCATCACATGAACGCGGGGTGTACCTTTACAAAACTCTCGCAGTCCAGTGAATAATATAAATCTGAATATAGCGACACATAACTTCTCCGAAGTGGTTTGAAAATACGAAAAATATCAGCTCATTTTGGAATCAGATCATGTATTGGTCAATCACAATGTAACAATCATAGGAAGGCAACTCAGGATGATACCGTTGATTGACTTTGATTTTGTAGTGTGGTTAAACTGGGTGGAACACACTGCAATGGGACTTATAAACTGACCTGATGAATAAGATCCCTGTGCGACACGTCAAAATCGAAAGGCTTTGTCCGATCATCCGCTTCGCTTGAGGTAAAATCCATATTTTACCTGAAAAACAACTTCTGTTGAACCAGTTGTGTGCCACTTCATTAGGAAGTATTTATTCCAGTCTAACACAGCAAGGAAACGCCAGAAAAAATCCCCATGAGAGTTGGGCAACTTGGGCAACTTCATGTTCGCTTGAAAACTGTCATAAATTCTTTGACAAACGGTGCTTCCAAAGAGGCTTCAAACCCTCTGCAAATCTTGGGTCGACCAACTCTAAGCTCAGTGGTTTTTCTGTAAAGGAAGGACCAACTACGCATCACATACGGTCATGACATTGTCAGGCAAAAGCAAGAAGGGAAATTTAACAATGAAATCCCGCTTTCATATTCAGATCTTGTGGGGAGCACCATTTTGCAATGGGGCGCACTAGCGCGCTACATGAAGTACACAGTGTATGGTGGGCAGGGCACGCCATCTTTGTGATCATCACAACGGGGGGGTCGTATTTGCCCGCGATGGAGGGGGGGTCGTAAACGCATGGCCCATGTTGAAGTGGAGAGAGCGGTGATACACGGTACAAGTGAAAAGAAGCTCAAAAGGGACGATGTAGATGACAATAAATAGAACTAGGCACTATCGAACTATTCCTAGGCCAAGAACAAAAAAAATATTGCTGAAACTTTTTACTCCTTCCTCACAGAAAAACTTTTAGACACTTCGCCCACCAACCCTCCTAATCTGGTCTAGATAAATCCCAATCCACTAATCCGCAAAATCTAGAAAAGAATCCATTGCAAAAGCTACCTATGAAACCGTAGAAACTTGAATCCTGAGCAATTTCCTCACAACAAAATCAAACTCAACAAAACAAAATCAAACTCAACAAAAACAAACAATCAAAATAATATAAATAATATAATAATCCTTACATTCTATAAACCACTAATTCTGTGTGTCGGTTTGTCGTATGTATGTATGTATGTATGTCTGTCCGTCCGCAAAATGCTTTACAGGTTAAACATGTTAGATGAAAGGAGAGAACGACCGCTAGCCGGTGGCGAAACCAGTTGGTGCAGATGTATCAATCCAATGTTTTGATTGTGATAACACCCTGCACTATATAAGAGAACCATGTAGTGCACTCCAAACCATTGCACGAGCTGCTCGCGTGGCAGGTGGACGTGAGCACGTGCAGCGGCCGGGATGGGGAGTGGGTGGGGCAAGTGGGAGTGGGGAAGGGGGGAGGGTATAATGTGGTGAGGGTGGGTGGGATTAGTGAGGGAGAGTACGGGAGGGGAAGCATAGAGTGCGTTTAGTAGAAACTCATCACAAGTGTGGTAATAAAAGCGCCAATGAAAGCGATAAGGTGAATAGAGGAAGGATCAACCGCTAGCAGAGTCGCGAATAAAATCCATGTTTTGGTATCACTTTGAGGCAATGTGTGATTGTGATTACAATCTCACAGAGAATCATGTAGTGCACTATAAGCGGGCCACTCACGTGGCAGCTAGACGTGATCGCGTGCAGGGGCCAGGGAGGGGAAGGGGTGGGGTGAGCGCTGCGGAGAGGTGATAGCGAGGGCAGGTGGGATCGCTAAGGAGTAGGATGAGAGGAAGAAGCAAGAGGAAGAAGCTTAGAGTGAGGTCAAAGAGAATCATAGACAACTGTGAAAGCAAGGGATTAACCGCTAGCAGAATCGCGAGTAAAGTCCATGCTGTGGTATCACTTTGAAGCAAAGCTTTGATTTCATTACAACCTCAACTGCATTAACCATTTGTTGCCTCTTAAACGCTGCACGATCCTTTCAATTGTCACGAAAAGTACGATAGGGGGAGCCTAAAGTGCACTTGGGCAGAAGCACATCGGAACAGTGCAAACGAAAGCATCATTAAAAGTGTGAAGAGAAGAGGCATCAGTCACTAGCGGGGTCAAAAGTCAGTTCGTGTTGTTGCAGTTCGAAGTGATTTTGTGATGAAACCTCCGTCCTCTCCACCTCCCCCCCCCCTTTTATATGAGGCAACAGTAAGTCACTTGAGTATTACAACCGAGGCGAGCCCGTGTCGATGTGGAGGCAAGCATCAATTAAGATTGAGGGGGGGGGGGGAACGGCAAGTCAAACTAATCGAATAAAGGAGTACCAAAATAAATTCGTCATCCATGTGTGTCACGCTGTCCGGGACGTGTCATCATGTGGTGTGGTGATATCGACTGCACATCTCATAAATTGCTTGAAGTATAAGCGAGGAGTTAGGACGTTGAAGTTTTCAAATTTCCCATTTTTGCATAAGCTCACATGCTTGAGAACACCAGGTGACAAGCAAACCATCAACCGTGAACACAGAAATGATCTAGCGGTTCGGCAAGTAGGCACTACCAGTAGGCTGACACATGCAAAAATACAGTGAAATGAAACAACCATTATGAAACGTTTATCATTCGCAATGTTTATACGCTCTGTTTGTCTCTGTTATCATCTCTGAGCCTGATCCTGGAATTTCATTCCAAAAACTGACGTTGCTATGGACTGTGCAAATCGTTCGAACCTATCGCAACCATCGCAGGAAGATGGAAGGTTAGATATTATTTCAAGAAAGCTTCGCGACTTAGAATTTCTGCAAGTGGTGCCATACACCTCATAGGAAGTCGTTCCTTCGTAGAGGACGTTCCAATAATCAGAGAATGCGAGTATGAAGAAGACCCTGGATGAAGTATAGGGGCTCATGATGTGTCCCTTTTGTTATGGACAGAGATTCCCCCAATCACCAGCTTTCCTAGAGCGGGGTGGGTCTCACAACTTGCACGATCAGTGTCGAGACTCCTGATATCATCGGCTGCTGCATACTCTTTGGTGCATGGTCAATAACATCGACGTGGGTCCAATCCCCTTCCAAACTGGCAAACACCTTCTAAAGAGCGAATGGGGTCTCATAAAATCGCAGAGCTTGGTCAATTCAGAGTTGATAATATAGTAAGGAGGTAACCAGGAGTTTGTAGCTGCGTTTGCATACATGTGTGCATATAATTGCGCATACAGGTTAGGTGTGACAAAAATTGACATTAAATTACTGCGCATATGAAACACGTATAGTCAGATGCGAAAGAGGGAATAAAGATGAAGCCTCTCTTCTGGGAAAACTCTGTAAGAGTCTTTGATGATGTGGACACTTCTCTCAATTGAAAGACAGAGATGTGTATCGACAGAATCTTTCGTAACTGTTTAGGAGAAGGCGCCAGCCTGGAGACGAGACAGAAAGTCCTCTAAGTTACCGAGAGAGGGAAGCTGCTAGAAAGAGGGCTAGGAGAGAAAATGAGAGTGCTGAAGAGCGACAAAGAAGGCTTCAGCGGGAAGCTGAGCAGAAGACGGAGAAGACGCGCACAAGAGACGCAAGAACAGAGAAATGCTCGACATTCAGAGGGACGCGGAAAAGAGCTAGAATTCGCAGGCAACAAGAATGCGAAATTCAGAGGAGTGCTCGCCTGACAGGGCTCGCTGAACGAGCTCGCATCCGTAGAACGCTGGAGGACGACAATCATAGGGAAATGCGTCTTGCAAGACTTTCTCAGAGCGCTCGAACTCGACGGGAGCTCGGAGGATGAGGTACATAGGGAGGTGCGTCCTTGCAAGACTTGCTCAGAGCGCTCGAATTCGAAGGGAGCTGGAGGATGAGGTGCATAGGGAAGCGCGCCTGGCGGGACTTGCTGAAGGCGCACGAGTTCGACGTGAACTAGAGGGCGAAGAAGATAGGGAGGCACGTTTAGCTAGGGAACGCTGATAGAGCTCGAATGTGGAGACGTTTGGAGGACGCTGCACGTAGAGAAGTGCGTCTAGCTGAGGACGCCGCTAGAGCTCGAGCGCGACGGCTATCAGAAGACGAAGAGCAAAGGATTGTTAGATTGACACAAGAAGCAGAAAGGTCTAGAATCAGGAGGCAGCAAGAAAATGAGGAAATTCTGGAATTCCGAAGAGCTGAGGATGCTACGAGAGCGAGACAACGCAGAGAGAGGGAAGATGAGGAGCGGCGACAACAGCGCAACCTTGCTTCTGCACAACGGGAGCAGACACGTAGGAGTCGAGAAACATTGGAGGAAACTCAGGAAAGGCGACGTCACGAAACTGAACGCTATCACAACCGTAACTCAGCATTCGCACATCAAACACGAGGGATAGCTAGAACAAATGCTAATCCGGAGGAACATTACAGCGGACAGATGGATGTACTCTGTGGGAGCTGTGGGGCAAAGCATTTCAGATCAGAATCAAAAGGGAGGGCAACATTCAACGATTGCTGCAATCATGGCAGCATCACTTTGCGGCACTTCCACAATTATCCTGCGGAGCTACGTCGACTGCTCACAAGTCAGGAGGCCGAAGCAAAGGAGTTCCGTGAGCATATCCGTAGCTACAACAGCGCCTTTGCTTTTGCCTCCATGGGTGCGCAGCTGGATACCCCACGTGGACATGGCCCATACTGCTTTCGCATTCATGGCCAAATTTACCACAGAATAGGACCTGTGCGTCCGGAGAACGGTCAACCCCACCGATATGGCCAGGTCTACATACTGGACACGTCAATGGCAGCAGAAGGAAAGGATGGGAAATCCAGCCAATGCGCACTGCAACTCTCGGCTGATGCATTCATTAAGTGAACTTCTGCATAGAATCAACGCCTTTGCCCAGGCCTACAAAATGATGAATGAAGGTGGCTACAGAGGAAGAGTTGCAAGCTGCTAGGGAAGGAAGATCAGCGAAACCAGTAAGAATGGTATTTGAAACACCATCCAACTTGGATAGACGTCGGTACAACGCTCCTACAACAAACGAAGTTGCCGTGATATATGTTGGAGATGATGGAGATGTGCCCTCTGAGCATAATCTTGCAGTGCACCTGAAGGGCGGGAGGGCTTCAAACTATTCGTGTTATCGATCCTGAGTGCGATCCACTTACCTACCCAATACTTATTCCCGCATGGAGAGCTAGGGTGGCATCCGAATATGCTTAAAAATCCTTCAGAAAGACGTCGAATCAGGATCACCCAGAAGGAGTACTACTCCAGCATGATTGCTCTCCCGGAACGAGTTCAATCCTCTCCATTACGCGGGGAAGCTCTATCAACAATTTTTGGTAGATAGCTATGTAAAGATTGAACAGAATCGTCTCAATTACGATCGCACTCATCAAATGGAGCTCAGGGTGGACAGCTACCGCGGCCTTGCTGACTATGTGGCGGGCGAAAACGACATCGGAGGTCCACCAGGTGTAAGACGAGTCATTCTGCCGTCTCGTTTCCAGGTTCCCCTCGCGCAATGGTTCAAAGTTTTCAAGATGCGATGGCCATCGTCTCGAAGTATGGGAAACCAGACCTGTTCATAACGTTCACGTGCAATCCCACGTGGAAGGAAATTGCAGAGCAATTGAACATTGGGCAGACAGCTTCCGATAGGCCGGACATCGTTGCCCGTGTTTTCAATATTAAGCTGCAGGAGCTCTATTGCGATTTGTTCAAGAGACAGATATTTGGAGCTGTGACATGCGTACATCTCCGTAATGGAATGGCAGAAGCGAGGGCTTCCACACTGCCATATATTGATTACATTAGCAGAAGAGGACAAACCTAGGAGTACTGCCGATGTGGACTCCATCGTCCAGGCCGTCATACCCGACCAGGAAACGGAGCCTCGCCTTCACAGTATTGTGACGACATGCATGATGCACAGGCCCTGCGGAGCAGACAACCCGCACTCGCCATGTATGATTGATGGAAGATGTTCGAAAAGGTTTCCGAAACTGTTCCGAGAAACAACGAATACAGAACACGACGGTTATCCTGAGTATCGCCGACCGAATGACGGCAGAACTTGCATCTCCGGTGGAAAAGTGCTTGATAACCGATCTGTAGTTCCGTACAACAGGTATTTGGCGCTTCGGTATAACGCCCATTTGAACGTAGAAATCTGCGGAATGATCGAAGCCGTCAAATACATGTACAAGTACGTGTACAAAGGGCCTGACCGAGCTGCTCTGCGCATGACACGACAAGCGAACGAAGCTGAAGGCAGAATTGGTCAATGAGATTGACGAATTTGTGAATGCAAGATATGTATGTGCGCCAGAAGCTGTGCACAGACTCCTTGGATTCGAACTTCAATCAAAGTCTGACACGGTTTACAGATTACAGGTTCATCTGCCAGATTATCAGACTGTAACCTTCCAAGGAAGGTAGAGAAGAAGAAGCAGTTCGTCGAGCAGCTGAAAGAGACACCACCTGACTGCTTTTTTCAAACTGAACGAAGAGTACGATACTTTGTATGGCGAAAATGGAGTGCCTCAAGGAGAAAAGGATCCTCGCACACTGCTTTACGTGCAGGTACCAGAGTTCTTCTCATTTGACCAACAAGCGAGGAAGTGGAAGGCAAGAAGAAGACAGAGTCGTCAAATCGGAAGGATGTACACTGCTAATCCTCTAGACGTGGAACGCTTCAGTCTCCGAATCCTTTTGCTTGAATAGGAGGGGTCCCAAATCTTTCAACGATTTGAAGACTGTTGATGGAATTGTCCATAATACGTACAAGGAAGCAGCCAAGGCCCTCGGACTGATGAACGACGACTCTCATATTGAAAGCTGTTTGAACGAAGCGTCGCAATTCCATATGCCAGCTCAACTTCGGTCCCTTTTCAGTAGCCTTCTATGCTTTTGCACTGTTTGCGAGCCTCAACAATTATGGGACAAGTTCAAGAGAGCCTTGGCAGAGGACTTCATTCACCGCGGTGCGAATGAAGAAGAAGCTATCGCACGTGCTTATTTTGATATCATGGACAAGATGATCGTTTGCGGAGTCAATTTGAGGAGCTCAATTAGACCTCCCTCTGATCAAAGACCTGTGCAACTAAGCGATGAAGAGCTCACAGAGGCAGAGCACGCGTCACATGGAGAACAACTAATGCAACAGCTGAACCACCATCAGAGAGATGCGGCGGACAACATCATGGGAACTGTTAACAGTGGAGACAATCGGCACTTCTTCATTGACGGCCCTGGAGGCAGTGGGAAAACTTTTCTCTATACTGCTCTGTATCCATACTCTGCTTGGTATGAGGAAGAATGTCCTTTGCGTAGCCTGGACTGGAATAGCCGCTAACCTGCTGCCCAAAGGAAGAACTGCTAGCAGCACTTTCAAGCTCAATATTCACGACAATAACAGAACGTCTGCGATGAAAAGGGAGTCAGCTGAAGCGAGAGCCCTTCGCAAATGTGTCTGTCATATTTTGGGACGAGATATCAATGGTGCCGAAATGGACCCTCGAAGCTGTAGATCTTCTGCTCAAGGACGTCATGCAGAATGCTCTTCCGTTCGGAGGGAAGCTGATGATCGTAGGAGGAGACTTCCGTCAAGTCCTTCCAGTCGTAGAGAGGGGACAACAAGAAGATTTAGAAGGCGCCTGCGTCAAAAGTTCCCCATTGTGGCAGCACTTCGTTACGCTCCACCTGTCAACGAATATGAGGGCTTCTCCAGAAAGCGCAGCGTGGGCAAGCATGCTTTGCAGATTGGCAATGGAACCTATCCAGAAGACGAGAATGGTTTCATTGAGCTGCCAGCCGAAATCCGGAGTAGCGGAGACTTGATCACAGAGATCTTTGGTGAAAGAATTGGCTTTGATGATGTCGCAGATCTTGCAGAAAAAGCAATCCTCGCTCCGAAAAATATACATGTTGCCCATTTGAACGAACTGGCGCTCCAGCGGATGTCTGAGCAATTTGAAGTGAAGGAATACAAAAGCGTTGACGAAGCAGAGCACCCAGACCCAGAAGAAGGTCTCAACTATCAAACTGAATTCCTGAACAAGTTGAGTCCGAGTGGAATGCCCCCTCATGAGCTCAGGTTGAAGCAAGGTTGTATCGTAATGCTTACTGCGAAATCTCGATGTCTCCAGGGGTCTCTGCAATGGCACTAGGCTGATTGTCGACCAACTCGGCCGATTTGTTCTCGGGTGTCGCTTCGCCACTGGGAGCAGAAGAAACCAGTACGTCCTCCTCCCTCGGAATTGATAACTACACCGAGAAAGGACTGCCATTCCGCCTTAGAAGACGTCAATTCCCAATCCGTCTTGCCTTCGCTACAACAATCAATAAGGCTCAAGGACAGACACTTTCAAAAGTGGGAGTATACCTTCCCTGATGACGTCTTTTCTCATGGCAACTTTACGTTGCGTTATCGAGAGTACGCAGTTCTGCATCGCTCAAGGTGTTGTCTCCTTGCGGAAAGGTCCGGAATATCGTGTACAAAAATGTTTTATAAGTTCTGCGATAACATCAAGTATGCCCGTATCACCATAAGCGCTGTACCATCAAAAAACTGTCGGCTGATGCATTTGAGGTTTCCAAAAGAGCACCGATAACTTTTATATCTCTTTTCCCAGCTACACCCGTGAGTGTCAGTGTCAAATGATATAAGGCAGTCGGAACAGCCACAACTGTTCATATTTGACACTATTAATCGGATTGAGCAAGGTTCCAATAGTAGTCACATCACCCTAGGGAGCGTGTGAACTTCGACATAAGGGGACAACACTGGAGCAGTACATAATTGTAGTTTCGAGTGGACTGTCATGAGTGCCATGAACTCACCAATTCGCGAAACCTAATTTGCTCAGCCGACTCCATTCAATGGTACAATCGTGTTGATGGAGGCATGATGAAAGTAGGTCTGTCGCACTACTCATAAAACGCTAATTACACTGCGATCAACGAGCCAGACCTCTAGAGCAAGAGGATACATAAGTCGCCGTTCAACGGCTTCCGCGTCAAAATATGTGAGACAAGCAGCAACTCTGCATTTGGAGAGACAAGCAGCAACTCTGCATTTGGAAGACAAGACCGCAAAATTTCAATGCTTTCGGTGGAAATCTTTCCGTTGTGACGGAAGTAATCACGCTATTCATATCTCACATGGCTCCTTCAGAAGTCAAATACATCTCTGGAAAGGACAGACGGAACTGAAAGCAGAGCAATCTACGTAAACAAGGCGAACATACGTCCGCCCGGGAAAGGTATACTTCGCACGTAGGACCGCTATTAAGGTGTTTCACACTCCGCCTGAATTCAGAGTATTTCACTCATTGGATCGCTAATCAAGTGTCTGAAAAGAGTTATGCTGAACTATCACCTATATAAGTTTACTCACCGAAAACGTTCCAAGGCAAAAAAAGGAATGAAATAAGGCGCTACTAACCGTTCAACAACACTACAAAGTATCTGCGTTTGAACTGCTAGAACGAAAAGGTTTGAGCTCAATCAGTCGAAAATATCAAACAGCTAGACGAGAAAACAGAGATCCGTCTGAAATTATAGGGAAACAGTTTCGTTTGTCCTTCTGAAATTCTGAAATTCTCGCCAACTCCTTCATCAGTAGTTAAGCCTAGGTGAAATATTCTAGCGGAAAAATGGCGTTATTTCGGAAAACCAAGAGCTCCTCATTTGAATGTTGACCGAGATTATCCGGACAGGGAACAGCAATATTTGCGACCAATAACTTTCGCTTCGACAAAAATACCAGGTTCCGGAGATGGTATGTTTCGCAGTTCTTATCGGTGCCACAGCTTCAGCCAACCCCACCGTTGTACGATTTCAGCTCAGAAAGAACAGAAGCCCTCCTTTAGAAAGTCGTGTCAGGCTCCAGAATTGCGAGGCATGGCGCTGTAGGTATGCAGGAACATTGGAATTCTGAAATTCTCGCCAACTCCTTCATCAGTAGTTAAGCCTAGGTGAAAAACTCTAGCGGAAAAATGGCGTTATTTCGGAAAACCAAGAGCTCCTCATTTGAATGTTGACCGAGATTATCCGGACAGGGAACAGCAATATTTGCGACCAGTAACCTTCGCTTCGACAAAAATACCAGGTTCCGGAGATGGTATGTTTCGCAATTCTTATCGGTGCCACAGCTTCAGCCAACCCCACCGTTCCACAATTTCAGCTCAGAAAGAACAGAAGCCCTATTCAGAAAGTCGTGTCAGACTTCCAGATTTGCGAGGCATGGCGCTGTAGGTATGCAGGAACATTGGAATTCTGAAATTCTCGCCAACTCCTTCATCAGTAGTTAAGCCTAGGTGAAAAACTCTAGCGGAAAAATGGCGTTATTTCGGAAAACCAAGAGCTCCTCATTTGAATGTTGACCGAGATTATCCGGACAGGGAACAGCAATATTTGCGACCAATAACTTTCGCTTCGACAAAAATACCAGGTTCCGGAGATGGTATGTTTCGCAGTTCTTATCGGTGCCACAGCTTCAGCCAACCCCACCGTTGTACGATTTCAGCTCAGAAAGAACAGAAGCCCTATTCAGAAAGTCGTGTCAGGCTCCAGAATTTGCGAGGC